TGTGATTTTAATATTCTGTGGTATTCTACTCTGCCCCTGAGGTATGGTAACATCACATCTCACCCCAGACTTGTTAATAACTACATACCTCTCATGTTTGCTGATAGCTCAGCTCTCTGCTCATATTGCTCGTGTTTTAAACATAAGATAGTTTATGGATTCTTCTTTATTTTTTTATTACAATTAATCTGAGTATGAACAACATTATAGAAAAACTGATAGTTTTCTATTGCAAATCAATTGTATACCAGCACATATGTATTTGTAGAATGAAACCTGTTCATAAGCTGATGATTGCTAATAATATTCCTTTATTGCTGCTTTTTGTGATTATTTCATTGGCCAGTTTCCAAAAAGTATTATCAGAAGGCTGAGTTTGTATTGTTATTTAGCATACATGTGAAATAGTAGGCCTGTTGCCTTTTTGGTGGGCGTGGCGGGGGGTTGTTTTGGTGTTGGTGATGCTAGGCATAGAACCCTAGGCCTATTACTTCTGACCTTTCTACCAAAGAAAAAAGTTATGTACAAAAGTTATTATGAACTAAAATGTTTTAAAAAATTTACTTTTCCTGGTGTATTTCCCCCCCCCCACCCTGCACACATTTTTTATTGGTACATTATAGTAATACATAATGGTGGAATTTATTGTTACATATTTGTACATGCACACAATATAGTTTGGCCAGTATCACTTCCCAGTATGCCTCCCTTCCTCTCCTTCCTTCCATATTTTCAGAACAGTTTTTTGTTTTGTTTTTGCGGTGTTGAAAATTGAACCGGTTTTTGTTTTGTTTTTTATACAGGGAATTGAACCCAGCGGCATCTAACCACTGAGCCACATCCCTACCGCCCCCCTACCCCTCTTTTTGTAGTTTATTTAGAGACAGGGTTTCACTGAGTTGCTTAGGGCCTCCCTAAATTGCTGAGGCTGACTTTGAACTAGAGATCCTCCTGTCTCAGCTTCTGAGCCACAGGGATTATAGCATGTGCCACTATGCCTGGCCTGAACCTAGCTTTCCACGTGTGTGCCTCCTGCCCCGAGCAAAAAAGAAAGAAAGAAAAAAAAATTAAGATGTCTCACTCAGAGATAACAATAAGATTTCATCTTTCCTGCTAATCTGGAATACTTGGGGTCCTGGAACACTGTCAGGAGAAAGCTTATGAACTACATTCAGGATTTTTTTGTCCACCTCGGGTACAAACGCAGAAGTAGCCTAAGTTTGTCAATAAGGTGTCTTTCCTTACCTTTGGTTTTTAAATTGAGCAACATATATACCACTTATGGTAACTTATATTAGAGTCTGTAAACAAGTCAAAATAACACCTGGCATTTTGCCAGGGGAATGTTAGAGTTTGTAAACAAGTCTGGATGGTGCCTGGCAAAATGCCAGAGGGAGTGGTTTGAGAAGTAACAAAAGCGAGCCATTAAGTGTGGAGATTCCTTATTGGTTGACTGATGTATCTAGTTTATGCTAATTAGATAAGCTGTGTGGAATGTATAAATACTGCTCCTGTCCTGCAATAAACGGCTCCTACTCCTGCTGTATCAACGTACACAAGTTATTCGTCACCCCCCGGTTATTTTGCGGCAAACTTTGAAATAAGTATTATTTTTAGTGATCTGTTTTTAGTGAGAAAAAATAATAGGTGAATGTTTAAATTTATAAAATGTTTTAAACTTCATTATGAATGTACAGAAAAGTCATTGCAAAAGTTACTTTTACTAAATGTATTTAAGCTGAACAAAATTACTTACATAACTGGTGTAATATTAGAAATGTATTCATTAAAGTATTTTCTAGAACTAGATTGTCATTTTGAGGACTGCCCTGGATTTCACATGATCAGTGTTCAAAAGCAGCTGTCTTATAAAAAAGACATTGATACAGTGTATACTGAATAATAATGTGTACTATACTATTGCACTCCTGCCTGATAAACTCTGGTGTGTTGCTATTTGTGGTTGGTTATTGACAATTATTGTGACCTGTGTTTTCATACTCCAAAGAATGTATTAGAGAATACTCTTGAGTGCTTGTACATATTTGTACATGCACACAATACAATTGTCCAAGTATCCTATTTTTAGGACAATCTGTAGTTTCATTCTTAATTAAATTAAAGGATAATATAAGCTCAAGATTATGAAATAGCCACAGAATTGAAACTTGGTATATTATTTCCTTGAAAACCAAATTTTGGAAGGGGAAAGAGCTGTGTAATTTTTCGAACATAGGAGTGACAAGAAATGTGAGTTTATTCAAGGTGAGTTCATTTAGGGAACATAATCGATTGACCAATGAATATCAACAAGTAGACCAGCAGTGATAGATGGGGACTTGGTACCATTAGAAATGAATGGAACCTATAAAAGGTAGAAATTTTGCAGGATAGGATGATGGTAAGCCTTTTAAATCTAGTTTTAATTGGGAATAGGATATGAAGGGTAACTAGCTATGTGTCTTTTAGAAAGGGGAGGCTCCCTAGGTTATTTCTAATCACTTGAGGCCTGATTATTTTGAATTCAGGTCAGAAGTGGACCTACAGCCTACATTGAAGCCCTTCACTACTTACTACAATGTATTGTTTTATTTTAAAATTATTCCATCAGAATCAGGAAACTATAAAATGCCTTGTTTCTAGAAGAACATAAACAATTGTATAATACTTTATCACAATGGTTGATCTGAATGACTTGTTAGGATCATATAAAAGTTAGTACAATTACTATTTTTATTATGATGATTAAGCACTCATTTCTAACCTTACTGCAACCATATTTATTATTGACATTTATCAATGGGAATATATAAAAATTCATGTATTATAATTTTTAGTAGTAAGTGTGTGTATTCTAATTGGTAGTAAAAAGGGCATTGTGACTGTTTATTTCTAGAAAAATAATTTTGTAGTAGATTGTGAAATGTTTTGGTTACAAACTGAATACAGAATTAAGCAGGAGCAATATACCCCTCTAATAGTTAAAGAATGTTAAATTGCCACATTTCTGTCATAATTTTTCTGAGAAGTCAAATGTTACATTTTAAGTAGAGCTAAACTCCACAATTTTTCTATTCCCCTTCCCAGAGATAATAAAGGCCCTACACTGATCCTGAATTTGTTGTATATACATTCTATACATGTTTTATACCGTTTTTTTTAAACCTAACTATATTAGTAACAATTATTATTTTTTAGTTTTTCATGTAGTTTTTCCATTGCACCACTGTTGGTTGATGGTCATGTTGATACATGTAGCAATTTAAATTTCCAAATAGTTTATTTCATTAAATTCCTTTACTATTTGTATGTACCTGTACTAGTATTTATTCCTACCACTAGTATTTATTCCTACCTCCTACACCATGTTGACTCCAGGTCTTCAGCATGCTAGGCAAGCACTCTACTACTGAGCTACGCTCTGTTCCCTGTAATAGTACTCATACTTATTTTTTGTTTTTATGTGATTTCTCCATTTAATATTGTGTTCTGAGATTTAGTCTTGTTGATATGTAGAGCTATAGATTTGTGTTTATTACTATAGGAGAAATTTTTAGAGGAATAAATTAGTTTAAGTGCTTTAACAGTTAGGTTGTAATTAATTTTGGATTTATTACAAATTCTGCAATGAACCTATTTCCATATGCAGATGTAAAAGTTAAATTCTCAGAAGCACAATTTCATAATGGTTAGGTATGTAGATTGTCCACCTAGCCAGATATTTCCAAATTATTCTTTCAAAAGTAGTCATACCACTTAGGAGCAGTGTACAAATTGCTGTTTTACATATCTTATCATCCCCTGATTTTATCAGACTTTGAGTTTTTCCAGTCTAGATTTAAAACAGCATCTCAATATTTTATTTAATATTTTAACCAAATTTTAATAAGATTTGGCATATGTTGTATTTATTGATCATTTGGGTTTCTCTCCTGTGAATTAAGATCGTCTCTTTTTTAATTCCAGCATATTTCTGGAGTTCTGTTATATGTTTTGATTATTTAATCTTTAGTTATGTCTGTTTACAGATATCCTCTACCAATCAGTACCTTGCCTTTTAACTTTGTTAATAAGATATTTTTGAAAATTAAGTCATGTTTTGTTTCTTATTTAAGAAATTCTTTCCTGTTCTAAGTCCCAAAGATACTCTTTGTGTTTTAAGTGTGTATGTACAAATATAGCAATTTGAAAATTTTAAATTATGGAATTATATCATGAAGAAAGAAACTTTTACTTTCCCCATATAAAGAACTAGGCATTTTGAATAGCTCAATCTAATTCATTAGAATCTCACTTGATTTGAATGCCATAGCTTTATATATCCAGTTTTAAGTTTTGAGGCTCTGTATTCTGTTCCATTGGTCTTTTGTCCATCTTATATTGCCTTAGTTACCGTAATTTTATAATGAGTTTTGATACCTGATAATTCAAATTTATATCATGCTTTACTTTTCAGAATATCTTTGCTAATGGTTCTTTTTTCTGTGTGAACTTTTAGATGTTTCTCAACTTCTATGAAGAACCCTGCAGAGAATTTCATTGGGATGTCTTTGAATTTACAGATTTATATGAAAATTGCCTTATTAAAACATTTATCTTGCCATTTGTATAGATCTTTATATCTTTCAGACTTATTTATCTGTAAAGATTTTTTTCCTCTAGTATTAGCTTTTGTTGATGAGTTTAGTTATGAGTAGTGCTTTTACAGAAAATATTTTTCTATGACTGGAATTTTTAATACAAATTATTTTTCATATATGTCTTATTTTAAAGTAGAAAAATTAAGGCAATTTCAGAGGATTTTTTTAGGGGGGATGCACAGGATCAGGGTACTTAATCTATATGAAGTGTTTTATTCCACAAGGGTCCTTCCTGTAGGTTCTGTGTGTGTGTCCATCTTTACTTTTTCTTGATAACAAGTTAGTCTATGTAAGTGCCTTCATCTGATTTGGTATAGATACTATCTGCTCTTGGATTTCACTCAGTTTATTTCCTTTTAGGAGACGCAGGTCAGAATGGAGATGGGCTGCAGACCGAGCAGCTATTGTGAGCCGCTGGAACTGGCTTCAAGCTCATGTTTCTGACTTGGAATATCGAATTCGTCAGCAAACCGATATTTACAAACAGATTCGTGCTAATAAGGTAAGGGATCAATATCCGGTGTTTTCAGCCCAATTAAAAACTACCATTTTCCCTTTTTTTCTCATCCTCTCCTACCCTTTCAGTAATTCTTCACTATGTCAAGATAAAAGGTTTAATGATCTGATATTATGAGCTGATGTTGGATAGTATACTGTAGTAAACAAGGGTACAATATAATGTTTAATTGACGTGTGTTTAGAGAAGAACAGCATGGGTGTCTGAGTTAACACAAAACCCATCCCAAATAAAAGACTATATAATTAATGTAAACCATTAGCTGTCAGATTCATTATGTATTCATGTCTAGTGAGGATTTTTACTATCTTGTTCTTTTGATTAGCTGTTTCCTGTTTTATTACGAATCCTCTCTTGCTTGCTTGAGAAAAAATAGGGTTGGCCTAAACAATTGTTGAGGTAAATACATTGATGATGAGGAGTTTTATTTTGCTTTATTCCCCTGTCTGTGAGGGACTAATAAGCTACCTTACAGCTTTTATTTTTTATACTGACATTACATAGTTTTTCGTCTTGAAAAATCAACATAGGAGAAAGCTTTTTGCTCCAGTTTCAATTTGAGTTCAAAAGAAATTTGCACAGAAAAAAAAATCCATTCAACAAATATTGAGTGCTTACTGTGTAGCACCACTTTTCTCTGTGGAATGGTCACAGTGGTGAACAAAAATTTTACCTTCATGGAGCTTTACATTCTTGCACAGTGTCTTTTGTTCTTAATATTTTATGAGCTTCATAACTGACAGATGGGTCTAAATAAAGTCTACTCCTAAAAATGTGTTAAGTATCTTTTTATCCTTAATGCTTGTCACGGCCTTAAGAAAACTGCTTACTGTAAACAGTATGTGTTAGATTAATTAATAGGTCTAAAGTTAAAGGGTGATCAAATGACAAGATAAACAAAGTGATGAAAGTTTGATGTAAAAGTTCTGTAGCTTCTTCTGTCTACTCTTTTAAACATTTATGTTAAAAATTCCACTAGACATTTCTCCTCTTTTAAAAAAAAAAAGTTCACTGGATAGTTCTAGGTTTTCCCCTTACATTGGATTTATGTATAAATCTCCAGTAATCCATCTGAGCATATTATAATTGACATAGTCCAAAGGATTCACTTTTTAATAATTTGTTCCTTTAGGGTAGAGAACAGATGAAATCATGACTAATTTTAACAAATTAGCTAGAAGATCTGTGGGTGTGGTGGTGTATACGTGTAATACCAGTGTCTTGGGAGGCTAAGGCAGGAGGATTGGATGTTTGAGGCCAGCCTCAGCACTTGGTGAAGACCTAAGCAACTTAACAAGACCCTGTCTCAAAGTAGAAAAGGATTGGGATATATGTAGCCCAATGGAAAGTGCCTCTAAGTTCAATCCCTGGTACTCCCCTATCTCCCACCCCCAGCCAAAAAACGAATTAGCTAGAACAAAACTAAGAAATATTCTAGAGATTCTAGGGGTGGTGATTATTTTGCTTTTCTTACTTCATCTTCACAAAAAGAAATTTTAAAGCCTGATTTATAGAGAGTGAACTGGAATGGTGACTAAGAATAGCCAGGAGATGACTGGATATTACCTATCCTGAGGGAAAAAAAAAAACAGTCTTTCTGTGTCAGGGACGCCTCTTCAGTGTCTGTTTCTAAGTTATTTTAACCAGTAGTTAGGTGGAAGTTTCTATATATGAAAACTAGAGTCTCTTGGTTAGTACAACAGTCATATTTGTTGCTTCATCTGTTTTATATACATTCATACATAGATATGTGCTTTTATATATGTGTATATGTTTTGTTATATTAGTTTTGCATTATAAAACTACCATAGTGCTAGGCCCATTGATGCAGACCTGTAATCCCTGCTACTCAGGAGGCTAAGACCATTGGTTTGCAAATTTGAAGCCAGCCTGAGAACTAAGTGAGACCCTGTCTCAAAATAAAAAAGAGCCCTGGGGATATAGCTCAGTGAAAGAGCACTTGACTAACCTGTGTATCAATTCAATTAATAGGATAAACTTGGAAATTACATAGAAGTATGGGGGATCATTCCCTAATAAACTCAACTTGGTACAAAATATTTGTTTTAAATTTTTATTAGTTATTGATGGACTTTTATTCATTAATTTGTTTATATGTGGTGCTGAGAATCGAACCCAGTGGTCCATACATGCTGGGCAAGCATGCTACCACTGAGCCACAACCCCAGCCAAAAACATTTTTTTACATATATTTTCTTCCATCATTTTTCTCAGTGTCACATAACTACTTTGTTTAAAGAATTTTGTTACAGTGTATCCTGAATATTTACTATCACTTTTTGGAAAATTTTGTTGTTATTAACTATGTTCTTCTAACTTTTCTTGTTATTTATTTAAATTATGTTTTTTTTTAATTATAAGGCATGCCATGATAAACATCTTTACTTCAGTCAAAGACATAAAAACTTATGTTTTTGCTGCACACTGTAGAGAAAAGTGTCTTGGCAGTCCCTTTCAGTTTACAGATTTGGTAACTACGTATGAAAAGATAATCTCACTTTTGGCTCTTGCTTTATTCTTTGTCTCATCACTTAGTAGTAATGTCAGAGCAATTTGGGGAAACTTTTTAAAAACCTGAAGATATTTCTCAATATATGGAAAATATTCTAGAACTTTATGTATATACTGATAACTCAGGAGTCTTGATATTCAGGGCATAATATATTAAAGAAACACCAGATTTACTAATATTTCATTTTAATTCTGACTTTTGTTACCAGTTATATAATCTTGGTCATATAAAGTCACTTATCATTTATGAGCCTCAGTTTCTTGGTCTATAAAATATGTCATTCTAGATAATCTTTTATAAAACATTTTTTCTGCAGTTTAAATACAGTATCAATTACAAACTTCTGACAATAAAATTAGAATGAGAATCCCAGTAATATGTCAAAAAAAAAAAAACCCTCAAAACTTTTCAGATCATTCTATCATTTAAATGTTAGTGATTTAACGATTTGTTCATATCATTAAGTCATTTGTTTTTTCATCTAGATCTGTTAAGTTTCCTAAGCTGCCATACAAAGTATCACAAACTGGGTGACTTAAAACAACAGAAATTTATTCTCTCTTAGTTCTTGGGGTCAGAAGTCTAAAGCCAGGGTGTTTTCAGGGTCATGCTCCTTCTGAAGGTTCTGAGGAAGAATCTTGCTTCTTCCAAAGTTCTGGTGGTGGCTGGCAATCCTTGATGTGCTTTGGAGGAGGCTGTGTCACTCTAGTTGTTTGTTGCCTTTGCCTCCACGTGAGCATTGTTTCTTTGAATATCTGTGTCCAAATTTCCTTGTTAAAAATGCACCAGTTGGGGGCTGAGGCTGTAGCTCAGTGGTAAAGCGCTCCTCTCACATGCGTGAGGCACTGAGTTCAATCCTCAGCACCACATAAAACAATAAATAAATATACTGCGTTCATCTACAACAAAAAATATACATAAAAATATTTTTTTAAAAGCACCAGTTGCAGTGTGTTTAGCGCCACTGTAAAGGGCTCATCATAACTTGATTACATCCACAAAGACCCTGCTTCCAAATAATATCACATTGTTAGTTCTTAGCGGACATAAATTTTGAGGGAATACTTCAACCCAGCCTAATAAATAAGCAGTGGAATTTCCTCAGTGATATATTACCATGCATTTGGATTTTACCTAGACTATTCTATTATTTTACTAATAGAAACCTTTGAGCACCTGTACTGTGTGCCAAAAACTATGCTATAGGCATTGTACTGTTATCCACAGTTTTAAAGATAAACAAATGAAGGTTTAGAGGTTAAGTAGTTTCTGCATGGTCCAAAGTGTATCATCCAAGTGAATCCAAAACCAAGGTTTGAGTATCTGGTCTCCAGAGTTTTGCTCAAGTTGGTGGTCACTTTTAAGTGCTTTGTTACTTTTCGGGTTATTGAAATCCAAGGGATTTTTTCTCTGTGCATTAGTAGAGTGGATAGTGTTCCCATTCTGCTTCTAGGTTTACGTCATTTGCCTATGTTGTTCATGAGACAATTCTGGGTTTGATAATCAGATGTTCAGTTATAACCTTGTCTTATGGATGGAAGATTGGAGAGATGGTGGGGCTTTTACTTTTTAAGGCTTTACTGTATTAATTTTCTTAAACTGAAGATATTTGGGGAAGTATTTGTGAACCACTGCTAGGTGATTCTAATTTCCACACATCATGTTCTTTGCTATCAGAAGTGAATATCAAAAGATAATACCCAGCTGGCCATGGTGGCACATAACTGTAATCCCAGTGGCTCAGGAGGCTAAGAGAAGAGGATCACAAGTTTCAGAGCAGCCTCAGCAACTTAGCGAGACCCTATCTCAAAATAAAAGGACTGAGGATGTGGTTCAGTGGTTAAATGCTCCCAGGTTAAATCCCCGTTCAAAAAAAAAAAAATCTTCCATGACAGAGAAAGGAAAATAATGTGTGTATGTATTGAATAAGTTCATCTTTCCAATATTCTTCTGCATCTACATCTAATGCATTAAAATTTAGCTTTATTATTTTTCATCTCTTCTTCTGACTGATCTGAGAAATTCCTCAGCAGTTGCTAAGGATGGAAATGTTATTGAGGATAAGAGGTGGAAAAGCATTGAAAACACCAGATAGAAAAATGCTGATTAGCAGGAGCTTATCCTTTGTCTTCAAATTTATATATATATATATATATATATATATATATATATGTATGTATGTATGTATGTATGTATTTATTCATTTATTTTCGTTGCAGGTGGGCAAATAGCTTTATTTCATTTTTATGCAGTGCTAAGGTTTGAACCCAGTGCCTCTCATGTGCTAGGCAAGTGCTCTACCTCCAAGCCCCAGCCCCAGCCCCTGTCTGTAAATTTTATAGAGTTAAGGTTCCCATCTTAACCAAGTTATAGCTGTGTCTTCTTCAGGTAGCTCAAGGACGTTCTTAAGAAACTCACTGCAGTTACTCTTTTGTTTGTTTTAAAGAGTCTGCAGTTGTGACCTTACCAATTCCATTGGTCCTTGTATAAAGCGGAAGCTTACCTTGTGAGAGTTCTGTAGGGCTGGGCAGGCCACATGATCCTGTTTCTGGCTCAAAGGGCTGGAGTGAAGAATAGAGTGACACTCTTGGCCTTTAATTTTGTCCTTTATCGTTGCTATCAAACTGATGGCCATAGCCATTTCTCAATGACCCAGTTGAAACACAGAATGCTATGGAATTCCATTTTTGGGTTGACTTGACAGGATAGAGTGGAAGAGTTTTCTTAGCTGATAATAATCTTTCTTTTCATGGCTGTTAAACATGAATAAACTTTTTCCCAAATAATTTAATGGTGGAATATAACTACTTGCATACAAAAAAGGACATAAAATATTAACTGTACAGTTTAATGATATATTTGAATATTTTAGGGAATTTCAAGTAATCATGTAAATCTCCTTAAAGCCTCACTTCCATCAGCCTCGTTAGCTAGGTTCTACCTCTTTTCTCTTTTAGGTCACCTTCTCTAAACTTCTATTATAGTGCTGCTATAGTAATGCTTTGCCTACTTGTTTATCCAAGGCTAGATAAAGTAAGTTCCTTATGGTAGAATCTGTTTTTTAATTTTCTTGAAAGAGGCTAGAAACCTTGTCAGGTTCTCTGACTTCCTTCCCAACCTACAACCCTATTTGCATATATGGTTGATTCTGTCTTCAAATATATATCCAGTGTCCAGCCATTTTGTTCCAAGCAACTGTTTTTTCTGCTTTTGTTTGTCCTCCACTGTCTGTGTTAGCACAGTAGTTAGATTGATCATTTACAACTCAATCATTCTTCAAATCATCAAGTTTACCCCCATCTTAGCTTTTGCATTGACTTTTCTCTAGATACCTGTAAAGTTTGTTTTCATGTTTTTGTCAAATATTTAGTCAAATATCACCTTCCTGGTGTGGTTTACTCTCCTGCCTAATAGGAAATAGTATTCACTTCCACTTCTTAACCTTCTCCAGGTCCTTCTCTTTTCCCTTTGACACCATTCATATTGTTTGTTCTTACCCCAGTATTAGAATAGTGTAAGGAATTTGAGGGATGGGTTAGGAGAGATTGAGGGGAGAGGTCTCATTCTCTTCTGCATCCCCAGCACCTAAAAAATGTTTATGAATGGAACAGTGGTTAACTTAAATAAATATAAGAAAATGTGGACAAATCATATATGTCAAACTTAGAAAACTTGTGCACAGCAAAGGAAACAACAGTGATGAGACAACCTATAGTATGTGGAGAAAATATTGGCAAACTGTTCATTTAACAGGAGAGCAATATCCAGAGTATATAAGGGATTCAAGCAACGGCCCCATCCCAGGAAAAAAAAATCCAGTTAAGAAATGGACAAAATGGATAGGCATTTCTCAAAAGAACATAAACAAAAGGCCAACAACTTGTATCATCACAATACAGAATGACTCTTATGAAAAAGACAAAAACTTGCTGGGGGCAGTGATGCATGCCTGTGACCCCAGTGGCTCAGGAGTCCGAGGCAGGAGGATCATAAGTTTAGAGCCAGCTTCAGCTATTTAGCCAGGCCCTAAGCAACTTAGTGAGACCCTTTCCTGAAATAAAAAGGAGTGGGAATTGTTGCTCAGTTAAGTACCCCCAGGTTCAATCACTGGTACCCTATCAAAATAAAACAAAAATAATAATACTGGCAAGAATACAGAGATAGGGGAACTCTAATACACTGTTTGGTGGGAATGTAAATTGATACAGGTTTTATGGAAAACAGTATGGAGGTTCCTCTGAAAACTAAAAGTTAGAACTGCCATATGACCTGGTAATCCCACTTTTCCCTCCCCTATATTTTATTTTCCCAACCTCTGTAAATTTGAGGGGACAGCAATATTACTGAAGTTGTGGCCCATAATATTGTATTACTCATACATCCTGCACTCTACTGGGGATTGAACCCATGAGTGCTGTATCATTGAGCTACACTCTCAGCCCCCTTTTAATTTTATTTGAGACAGGTTTCCCTAAGTTCTCTGAGCTGGCCTTAAACCTAAGATAAATATTTCATCTTTTTACATCTCTTCTTTCAAAAAATTTTTGAATTAAAAAAGATCCCAGAGGATGCCAGGGATATATATATAGCTCAGTTGGTAGAGTGCTTGCCTTGCATGCACAAGGCCCTGGGTTCAATCCCCAGCACCACCCAAAAAAAAAAAGATCCTAGGGATGGATCAGTCTGGTTCAGTCACTCATAAGAACCTATATTTCAGTGTCCTAGTGAACTCAAACTAGTATAGTCAAAATTTTTAGGACTTTTAAAAAAGGAAATCTATATTTTAGGGTCTTCTCTGATGTATTCTGTTGGAGAACCATGACTGATCAGATCTAAAAGTCTAGTATGTATTTTTGCACATTACTCCGGATCGAATGAATCTGGCACATGCTAGGCAAATGCTCTACCACTGAGCTACATCACCATCCCTTTTTAAATTTTATTTTGAGGCAGGTTCTTGCTAAGTTGCTATGCTGACCTTGAACTTAAAATCCTATTTGAGACCTCCCAAATGCATGGGATTACAGGAATGTGCCACCCCACCTTGCTGGAAAGAGATTTCATGTGGAATATTTAATCCTATCCTGAGATAATAAATAGATTTGATGATGGACCTGCCATATGTGTTTGATATATTCCCCAGCTGATTCTAATAAGAGCTGCTTTTTTTTTTTTCCTTTTGGTGGGGCACTGGGGATTGAACTAGGGTTGCTTAACCACTGAGCCACATCCCCAACCCTTCTTTATTTTGAGATAGGATGTGCTAAGTTGTTTAGGGCCTCACTAAATTGCTGAGGCAGGCTTTGAACTCCCTATCTGCCTGCCTCAGCCTCCTGAGCTGCTGGGATTACAAGTGTGTGCCACCATGCCCATCTTTAATTAAAGAGCTTCTTAATCTGGTTTGATCTGTTCATTATTACTTGGGATGAATGTAAGATCTGAATTTGAAATTGTCAAGCGGGAACTTAATCTGAAGTATTATATATGCTGGGTGCCAGTGGGGCATTAAAAAAAAAGTTTTTGATTTCTGATTGCAGGGACTCTTCCATTTTTGTTTCACTCCATTATTCTGCAATACAGTTGTTTGAGCTCATAGTTGACAGTAGTAGTACATTTAATGTGCTAATCCTTTAGCCACATTTGTAATCAAGTTAACTAGAAACACTGCATTGCTTATGTGGATCCAGTCCAGTCCAGTTGGTAATATATATAAAATACTAAAAAATGCCAGGCTCTGAATAAAAGGTGAACTGACATGTCAAGTAAATCAGAACATTGAGGTGGAATAGTGAGGAAGCCTTTGCTGCCTTGCTGAATACCCTGCTACTACTAGGCTTTTTGTTCATCCATTAAGAAGCAAATTTTCAGGGACTGGGGATGTGGCTCAAGCGGTAGCGCGCTCGCCTGGCATGCGTGCGGCCCGGGTTCAATCCTCAGCACCACATACAAACAAAGATGTTGTGTCTGCCAAATACTAAAAAAATATATTAAAATTCTCTCTCTCTCTCTCCCTCTGTCTTTAAAAAAAAAAAAAAAAGGCAAATTTTCAGTTCAGCAAGTATTTCAATAAAATTGATACAGGTGCATTAAAGTAGATTGGAAATCTATATAGAGCTTATTTTTTTTTTTTATCAAAACTTTGGAAACATATTTCAAAGTTACCATTAGTAGCATATTCTTTGCTTTATTGATCAGTTGTTTTTTTTACAGTGCTAGGGATTAAACCCAGGGGCACTTTACTACTGAGCCACATCCATAATACTTGTATTTACTTTTCAGGCAGAGTCTCACTAAGTTGTGAAAGCTAGCCTTGAATTTGCCCATCCTCCTGCTTCAGCCTCCCTGTTACTGGGAATATGGGCATGTACCACCATGCCTGTCTCAAAGTTCTTTAGGTATTCCATAAATGATACAATGGGACATAATGCTCTTTTGGAGCAAGGCAATTTACATACCTGTAATCCCAGTGGCTTCAGAGGCTGAGACAGAAGAATCACAAATTATGAGACCCTGTATCAGATTAAAAATAAAAGACCTGGGGCTATAGCTTATTGGCAGAGTGCTCTGCTAATGTAGTTTGTTTCTGAACAATAGAATAAGAGAAAAGGCTTTTGGTAAATCAGTCTTCTGCTTCTACCCTTTTGAGATTAGCTCCTAAATTTGTCATTTATTTCAGTCACTTAGTGTTGTTTATCTCCTCTCTGTCCCACAGGGGTTGATAGTTCTTGGGGAGGCACCTCCACCAGAACATACAGCAGACTTACTGCTTCCACTTAGTTCTGAGGTGAAGACAGATCATGGGACTGATAAATTGGTAAGTATAAAATAAAGGAAAGGGGAAACGAGTGAGAATTGAGGGTATAACTTCAGCACACAGTTTATTCTCTATAAATAGAAAGTTCCCATTGGCTAAAAGAAGGAAACTATCCCCTTTTATCACTTTGGGCATTTTGAGATCTGAATTCCTAAATCGGGCAACATAGGAGCCCCCTTGCTGTGTAGCTGACCTTAGAATTTAAAGGTGTTTCCTATCCCTCAAGAAACCACAGCCAGAGCAAATATGAAATTTTGGAATGTTGTTTGGAATCTGTAGACCTGACTATACCCTGACCCTTTGAGAGGTAAAATAAAACTTTTTTGGCTTACTATAATATATATAACCTTTTCATTAAAAGGTTGGACTAGAGGTTAAACTCTGAAAAATGTTGAAAATACTGTCTATGGGTGATTCTTATTTTATAATGAGGATAAAACTATCTTCCATAATCTTCCATATCCTTAGACCCTAGATCAAATCTCCCTCTTCTATTCTTTCCCTTTCCCTAACATAATTTCTTTCTTTCTGAATTCTAGGAGTGCTCATTTATTTATTATACTTTTTAAGTTTCCCTAAAAGCTAGCTGGCTTTTATGAATATTAGCATTTCTTCATGTCAGCTCAACAACTGAGTTTGCAATTCCAGTAATTATTCATTTTGATTATGCTTCCTGGTAGTAAGCAGTATTAACTCTTTAAATCGGGGGTTACTCATTAAAGCATGTTACCTTTTATATTTATCATTGTTAACAGGAACTCATATAAAATATAATGAAAATTAACTTTCTTCTGAGAAAGATCATAGAGATGTTTGGGTTTTGAAAAGGTCTTTTACTCAGTTTTGAATGCCAGCTGCTGTTGCTATGGATAATAACAACATTAAGAGATCAAGAGTTCTTAACTGGAGGGTAGTTTTGAATAAAGAACAGAGTGCCAAATTACGCCACTGTTCGGATCTGTAATGTGAGTTAATTATATGCTATCAATAGAATTTTTTAAGTGACTTATGAAACTTTAATTATTCCAGCCAAGGGAAATATTGCTCATGAGAGAAGAATCATGGGTAAATTGAGAGGTCAGCTGATGATAATAAAGAGGCAAAGAAAACTTGAGGCATATTTGATTGAGAATAAGTTCTTTATAAACATTTATATAAATGTATCATATGTCTTCAACAAAATGCAAATCAGTTTTTACAAGAAAATCTACAATAAACATCTAACTTAAATTATCTGGGCCCCTAATCAGTTATAAATAGTAGATAAAACAAAATGTGGGCTTGTTGAATAATGTTCCATTGTTAATACCGAAAGAACATATAGCCAGTCTTTTTTCCTTATTTCCAAACTAAATGATCATTTTTTGGCAGAATCAATACCTATATATGTGGGTCTTGAAGACAGTACAGATATTACTGAAATTTAAGTTGTTCTAAAGGGCCCCAGCCTGTGACATTTAGAGACTAAAGGTGAGCCTCTTTTGAGCCATGGAGCAAAGCAAGAAATTCTCCTTGAGATAGGAGATGGCTTTGTGTTGGGAGAAGAAAATAAGATCCAATGAGGAACTCCTATAAAGTTCCTCTTCCGCCTTCTGGGGATTTGCACAATCTTACCACTCAAGACAGTTGGAAAGGTAAGGCTTGTTGAAGAGAGACAGTGAAGGCCTATGGCTTTGTAGCTGCCAATAAAGTCTTCTGTGTTCAAATAAATAGCTGATGTGAAGTAAAGCTGTTTTTGTACAAAGAAGGTGTGCCCCTGGAAAGAAAAAAGCTGTTGAGAGTTGTTCTCCTGTGTTGAGAAGCATGCCCTTTATCTTTCCCTCCTCCCTCTTCATTCCCTTGAATAGCAAACCATTTTCACCCATGTAAGAAAAAGTAGTGAAGGACCAGAGAATAACTAACTTGAAACTTATTTAAGTGAAGAAAGTAGTTTAAAATTATTCAAGAAAGTCATCAAGATTTCAGACAAAAAGTATTTTCAGGAAGAAGTGAGGGCTTTTTGGTCCATGTATCACAGGGTTTCTAGCATTCCACCAGAGAGCCATAGTATCGTTGGCTTGTATATTGTTGGAGGCTGGAATTCAGAGCTGGCCAATAGGTAGAATTTGAGGGAGGGAGTAGCGAAGAGGGAGCTACATGGGATGGAGCAGGACTTAAGCCCACAATCTGTGTATATCCCTTCAAATCTTGATCTGACCTTGAGCTGTCCATGTTCAGGTCAGATTTTTACATGGTCTAGTAGAAAGTAACAGTTGGAAGACTGAAAAGAGTTGAACAGAGATGGTTGTCGTTACTCACTGTGGGGAACGCAGAATTTGGAGTTTGGATCTCACATTGGACTTCGCATTGAAAGCATGGGGTGCTTACACTTTTGAGTTAAAAGAATGTTTCACCAGACTAAGTAATTAACTATAGGATTAAGGAGAAAACCAAAATATTTAAGTAGGCTTCCGTATGTTTCTTTGAATGCAGAATTACCAGTTCCACAAAATCAAGATGACCACTTAGAAAAACCTTAGCATCCTTCAGGGAAAGTGAATTGAAACCAGAGTCTCTATAGTGACATATACAATAAAAATTATTATACCTAGGAATAACCAGTAAAAATGATCCTTAGTTATGAAGGAAAAAAGAGAAAATGGGACTGACAACGTTTAAGAAGAATATCACTTTGTTTAAATGAAGAAAAGTCAATTTACAGATAGAGTAAAAAAATTCTTTGGAGACTAGTATACATGAGAACTACTTTGTAGTCAGATGTGACAATCAAAAGTGAAGACCGTCTTAAAAGTAGCCATAGGGAAAAGGTGAATTCCACACAATAAAGCATTGATCCTCAAGATAGATGAGGCCAAAAATAATGGAATTAGATAAATTGCTCAGAGAGGGAGGCTCAATCGCAGCATAAATAAAATGTTCAGATTCCTTAAGAGATTACCAAAACTGCAGAAGTGCAGCCATCCCTTGGTATTCCCAGGGTATTGATACCATTATCACCCCCACATATGCCAAAATTGTGGCATGCCCAAATCCCTTCTGTAAAGTGGCATATAGTATTTCTACACATGTCCTCCTATATACTTCAATCTCGAGATATTAAGTAACCTCTAGATTATGTTTAACACCTGTTGAGAGTTCTCCAGTGTTAAGAAGCATGCCCTTCTTGTAATACAATGTAAAGAATTGTTAGATTGTACTGTTTAGATAATAATGACCAAAAGAAAGTCTGTATATATTCAGTATGGACATGTTTTTTTTCTGAATACTGTTTTATACTGACATACAGTGCACAGAGTTCTGATTTTGCCATTCTCAACCAACACTTTTGTTTTCTGTTTGTTTTTTGGTTGTAGTCATCCTAATGGTTATGAGATGGTATCTCAAAGAGTAAAAGTACTGAACATATTTTCATGTGGTTATTCCCCATTTATATGTCTTTTCTGGCAAAATGTCTGTTCAAATCCTTTTCTTATTTAAAAAAAATTTTTAAAGTTATTGATGGACCTTTGTTTTATGTATGTATGTGGTGCTGAGAATTGAACCCGATGCCTCACACATGCTAGGCAAGTAATGAACTACAGCCCTAGCCCCCATTTCTCATTTTTGAAGTGGTTTGTTTGTGAAATTCTTCATTGTTTCAAGAGTTCTACAAGTTTTGGATTTCATTCCCTATTCAGATGTGTGATTTGCAAATGTTTTCTCTCAATCTCTGGGTTGCCTTTTTACTCTGTGAATAGTGTTGTTATTGTTTTTTGTTTTGATGCACAAAGTTTTTAAATTTTTCATGAAATTCAATTTGTCTTTTTTTTTTTTAATCTTTGGTGTCATATCAAGAAATCATTGCCAGGTCTAGGGTTGTAGCTCTGTGGTAGCGTGCTTGCCTACCACGTATGAGGCCCTGCATTTGATCCTCAACACCACATAAAGATAAATAAATAATATAAAGGTATTATGTTTATCTACAACTAAAAAAAAAATAAAAATAAAATTAATCATTGCCAAATTCAGAGTTTTAAAGGTTTTTTTTTTTTTTTTTTTTTTTTTGTAGTTGTTCTGAGAGATTTATAGTTTTAGGTGTTAACTTTTAAGTCTTTGATCCATTTTTTAAATATTTTTTTAGTTGTAGAAGGACACAACATCTTTTTAGTTATTTTTATGTGGTGCTGAGGATCGAACCCGGTGCCTCACATATGTGAGGTAAGTGCTCTACCACTGAGCCACAACCCCAGCCCCTTTTGATCCATTTTGAGTTAATTTTTACTCTTAATTTTAGAGAAGAATCACCTTCATTTTTGGATATCCAGTTTTCCCAACATCATATGGGCAGGTATGTGTCATCACATAAATTTAGTAGTGTCATCTAAGAAGCCATACGGTCCAGGGCTTTTCTTTGCTTGCTAGATTTTTTTTTTATTACTGATTCAATCTCCTCACTAGTTTTAGCTTTATTCAGATATTCTATTTCTTTACGAGGTAGACTTGATAGATTTTATATTTCTAGGAATTTGTCCATTTCATCAATCTGTTGGTGTGTAATTGTTCATATAGTCTCATAATCTTTTTAGTTTCTGTAGAATCAGTAGTAATATCCCCATTTTTATTTATGACTTTTTAAAAATTTTATTTTAGTTGTAGATGGACACAGTACCTTTATTTTTAATTTATTTATTTTTATGTGGTGTTGAGGATTGAACCCAGGGCTTCACAACGCGAGGCAAGTGCTGTATCACTGAGTCACAATCCCAGCCCCTTATGACTTTTTTTTTTCAGTCTTCTATTTTTCTTAGTCCTTCTAGATAAAGCCTTTATCAAATGGTCACCTTTAGGTTTCACGGTTTGTTTTTTCTCAGTCATCTTTATTATTCTGCTGGCTTTGGATTGGGACTTATTTTTCTTATTTTCTATAAAGTTAAGATCTTGGGTTTTTGTTTAAATGTTTTTACATTTTTTAAAGTTGTTGATAGACCTTTATTTAATTTATGTTTATGTGGTGCTGAGAA